TACTTGTTTGCTAATTGTAATTTCTTTCTCTAATTAGCATGCTAACTAGAAAATTATGAACATGTACTACGTAATTTTAAGGTTTTAAATGTCGGCCGATATGTCCGACATGTCGGCCGACATATCGGTTTGAGGGCTTGACCGACACGACATGGACGTTTTCAACTCGTATGTCGGTTTTCAGGGCCAAATCGGAAATATCAGGATCATATCAGCCTATTTTTTAGCTTTGAAAAATCGACTGATATGGTACTTTTTTTAAGATCTGTTTTTTGTTATCGGGTTTGGATTTAGTGATAAATACCCAAACCTGTTTGACCCGTTCTCATGTTTAAGGGTTTCTTTATGAACCCGATAAAAAGAATTTATGAACCCAAATCCATATATTATTTACTTTTTTATATGTTTAGTCTATAGAATTTATAAATTATGCTTATATTGAATTTATGAATGCTTAGATTACATTTAGGACATGATATTATACATATGCGTACTACCCGATATAACAATCCGATATTTAGTCAATGTTCCCCGATATATCCCTGATTTTTGCTATCCGACATGGATTTCAGCCATCCGATATGAACTCAACATCCGACATTTAAAACCTTGATAATTGTTATCTCCATTCTCTATCTTTTCATGCTAACTAACAAATAGCAATTAAGAATGCTAACTAAAAAATTATGAACAATCATGTTTTTTTAATCACCTAATTATTACTTAAAAATACATATCATATTTTAAATGAAAATACATATTTCTTATTTGTTACTTGCTTGTTTTGTTTCATAGATTTTTGTTTATGTTGGAGATTATCTTGCATTGTGATTTGTGAAAATTTATGAACTTCTCTATGTTATGCATGCTAATTAAGACTCTTTCGTGATTTAGTCGGTGAAATTATATTTCTTGGTTTGTTTATGTGATAATTTATAAACATGTTGCTTATATGCTTCTTTATCTTATGTTGGAAAATATTAGTTTAAGTTGCGTGTCTCAATTCAGTGAGGCGCGCGCATCGTTGTGTGCATTGTGCATGGTGCGCGTAAGGGGCCTTTGCGCCCCGCATTGCGCCGCGCCTCGATAACAATGGCGTCAATAAACGAGTCAATAACCCTTTTGATTTAGTACATTCCAACGTATGGGGTCCTTGTTCTATTCCATCCAAACTCGATTTTCAATATTTTATTAGTTTTGTAGATGGCTTTTCTCGTATGACTTGGATTTACTTGCTGAAAAGTCGTTTTGAAGTGTTCTCTATTTTTAAAGTTTTCTGTGCTGAGATTAAAAATCAATTTCACCCATCATCAAAACTTTAAAACCAGATAACGCTAAGGAATATTTTGAAAGCTCTTTCATAAAATATTTGGAAGAAAATAGAATTTTACATCGGTCTTTTTGTACTTACACACCCCAACAGAATAGGGTTGCTGAACGTAAGAACAGACACTTACTCAAAATTGCTAGGACATTGTCATTTCATCGTCAAGTTTTAAAATATTTTTAGGGTGATGCCATTTTAACAGCCTGCTACCTGATCAATAAAATCTCATCTGTCTTACAGAATAAAATCTTGATCCCCCTTTTATCCGATTGAAGACGCTTTTTATTTATCTCCTAAGATCTTTGGATCTGTGCTTTAATCACAATCATAGTCCTCAACAGACGACGTTAGATTCACGATCTCTTAAAGGTATTTTTCTTAGATATTCTAGGACTCAAAAAGGATACAGATGTTATTGTCCATCCCCGAATCGATATATTATTTCAGCTGATATTACCTTCATTGAGAACAAACTAGGACATGTTGCCTTTGATAAATTTTTAGACCCTCAAGATGATTATGATTATCTTCTTGTACGGAAAATCAGTGTCAATGTTCCTTCTAAGGCTGTTGTACGGACTAATCTACCATCTAAATTTGCGGAACCAGTTCAGATTTATAGAAGACGTACTGCTTTACAACCTAAGTCATCGTCTCAATCCACCCAAGAGCCTAATATATTAACAACTCAAAATGTGCTCGTATAGCTAACTGCTCGTATATCCGACATGGATTTCACCCATTGCCCTCTGAAAGGATAAGAGATTTTGTTCTCGAAGTTCTCGGTATCCTCTCACACACTATATCTCTTACGCTTCGTTAACTCCATCATATTACTCGTTCATGTCTTCTTTGGATTCTCACTTTCCAAGTATTTATCAGAAGCTCTATCTAACACAGGTTGGACAACGGCAATACAAGAAGAAATGACGGCCTCTAAAAGAAATGGGGATCTTGTTTCTCTACCACCAGGGAAGAAAGCGGTTGGTCATAAATGGGTTTACACTGTCAAAGTAAATTCAGATAGCTCTTGTTGTACCCCTAAAAAATACTAAATATTCATCTTCATAGAGCAATCGTCACGTGTCTTACACTATACCTAATACATCTAATTCAAGACGAAGATAATCTCCACCCAATTCGGCCTACTGTTCAGCCAACAACATCTCGCGTAACCGAGACAAACTGCGAACTACTTGGCCAACCCTTCAATCGACTCCACAAGCTACCCGACTCAGCCCACTATTCAACTGACATCTCGCGTGTCCAAATCAAAAGGCAGTACTTGTCATCCAATCTGGCCAGTCGCTCTTGCGAATAACCCACACTTGGCCCGTTGTATCAGCCATCAATAGGTATAGTCGACCATTAGCTGGACGACTAAAAGAGTCGGTAGTTTTCTTGAACCCTGTGTCGACAGGCGCCTATCCTTGCATTAACTGCTCTAACAAAATCATCATTTTTCTAGCTCTGATAGCCTTTTATGACTCATCGGATCCAATCAGCACCGAACACCTGCTGTCATTCCCATAATACATGACTAAAAGGCTCACATCCCTCAACAACCGACACGTAGCACATGTCTGCCGACTCAGCTGCCTAGCTGGACTCGGCCCAAGTTATCTTTTTTCCCCTCAGATTCACTATAAAAAGGAGAGGAACTGTATAAGGTAACTCTCTTTAGTTTTTTTGACATAACTAATACCTAACTCTATATTTCTCTACTCAAGATTATCTACTGACTTGATTGTCGGAGGAACAACCAGAGAACCAAATTCCGGCCTCTTATGAGTTCTTTCTTGTGCAGGAAAAATAGAAAACCCTAAAGCCATACATCAGAAGGAATTAGAGGACTTTAATCACTTTAAAAAACTGCAAATTATTCCCTATTTGATAGCTAACATCAACAGCTCTCTAGCTCACCTCAAAGCTCGACTAGTTGCGAAGGGGTATTCACATATCTATGGCCTTAATTATATTGATACATTCTCTCCTGTAGCTAAAATGACATCTGTCCACATTCTTATTTCGCTTGCTGCTCTCTATCACTGGCCACTATATCAGTTAGACGTTAAAAATATATTTTTAATGGCATTCTTGATGATGAAGTTTATATGGAGCAACCACCAGGTTTTGTTGCTCATGGAGAGTGTGGTAAGGCTTGCAAATTAAAAAAATCTCTCTACGGTTTGAAGCAATCTCCGAGGGCTTGGTTCGGACATTTTGCCGTAGTTGTCCAGACCTTTAGTCTTCATCGAGCTCAGAAAAACCACTCAATTTTTTCGTGATTTCATGGTGGGAAGCAGATCCTTTCGGTTATATATGTTGATGACATTGTGATAACTAGCGATGATGCACAGAGCATTAGTCATTTAAAACGTATCTACAGCAACAATTTCAAACTAAGGGCATTGGATCCTTAAAATATTTTTTGGGTATCGAGGTAGATAGATGGAAGAAGAGAATTCTCTTATCTCTGAGAAAATATGCACTTGATATGTTGCTAAATGCTAGGATGTCAGAATGCAAGGGCATTGACTCACCTACGGATGATAAGATCAAACTACTATTGACTCAGAGGGAGTTACCGGAGGATATTGAAGAATACAGGTGACTTGTATAACAGTTACGAGCGCGGATATTGCATTTTCTGTTACTGTAGTCAGTCAGTTTCTCTCGGCACCTAGGAAATCTTATATAGAAGTCGTGAAGAGGATTCTTAGGTACCTCAAGAAAATTCCAGAAAAAGGAGTACTCTATTCAAATAGATCACACGAGAATTGCAGAATTCTCAGATGTAGATTGGGCAGGATCTCTTGAGTACAGACGGTCAACTATTGGGTATTGTGTTTGTGTGTTTCTTGGAGGAAATCTAATATCATGGAAGAGTAAGAATCAGAGTGTAGTTTTTCAATCTACAGCTGAGTCTAAGTATCGAGCCATGACGAATTTGACTTGCGAGCTGATCTAGGTTAGAGATATACTAACAAAGTTTGGTTATCCTCCGGAGTGTCTCATGAGCTTGTATGGAGATAATAAGGCCGCCATTTACACCGCTGAGAACCCAGTGTTTCATGAGAGGACAAAATACATAGAGATTGATTGCCACTTGATTCGTGAGAAGATGGAAAAGAGAATCATTAGAGTCAAGCACATACCATCAGACATCAACTTGCAGATATTCTCACTAAACCTCTTAGGAGAACACGAGTGAATTTTATCTGTAACATGCTAGGCATGTACGATATGTATGCTCAGTTGAGGGGGAGTGTTGAGAGAATAGTTATTTACTATTGTTTAGTCTCACATTGGTTAGGGCCAACTTCTTTGTTTCCTTAAACACTATAAATAAAATCCTAAAGACAGCTAATAAACTCACTAGGGTTTTCCTAATTACACAAAGCAAGGTGAGGCATATAAGACAATATGATTCAGCTAAGCATGGGGCTGGAAAAAATATTCCCTAAAATTTTTAACATAGTAGGTGCTTAGGAAGAATTATCAAATGAAACAAAAAAATTTGAATGATTTTAGTATAAAGGTATAAAGATTTAATGACCTTTCAGAATAACAACCAGAATTTTAACAGAATTTAGACGTTGACTTTAAGAGTTCTGAAGTGGCTGTGATACACAGATAGACAAATAAAAGTGGCGTGGAAGGAAATAATTACTTGGTTGTACTCTTGAAGCCAGGTTTCTTCTTCACAGGCAGCAAGCCATTTGCTTATCCTGTCCATAATCTCTTTCCTACTGATAGACTCCTCTTTTGCCTTCAGTATTTGTGCCTCAATGTTGGCCAAAAGCTCACAAGGATCCACCAAACCTGAATTCAAAAACCAAGTCAGAGAATCACCATATGTGCAAAGTCATCCACAACAGGGTATACTGGATATAAGCCGCCGAATCATTTAGTAAAATAAACTACCAAGATACAAAAGTGGCGAGGTTCACAATCTTCTATGTGACTAGCAAGATGAGCCTCAACGCTACCCTATATATTGGTAGGTCGTTTACCAAAAGGGTTAATTGCTGACAGACCCCCTGCACCATCGGGCAATTCCTGATAGCCCCCGTGTAGTTTGCTGCATAAAATCCCTGAGAGAACTCTTTTGACTCCTTTAACCTCAGAGAAAAGAGAAATTATTTTTTGATAGATAAAAATCCTAAGGGTAAAAGAGTCAAAACTATCTTCACTCAGGAGGTCTATCCGCAATTGGGCGAGAGGTCTATCAGCGATTGGGCAATAGTTAAAGGGGGTCTATACGCAATTAACTCTTAGCAAAATAAGTAGCCACCTTATACCCATTTTTGAATTCAGAATATTGTGGTATAATATCATACCAGAATCTATCAGTGCATTAGACTTCTCAGGTGCAGTGCTCATATCGGGCTCCATGTGTGCTTTCTTACATAGTTCTTCCAATTCGATCCTTCTTTTTAAAACAAGTTCTTTCATTCTGCTGGCTTTAAGTTTTGTCAGCCTTTCAACTTCAGCTTCTGTCTGTCGAACACAACAACGAATCTTTAATTTGCTGTCTTTATGGATGTAATGAAAGCTAAAGATGATAGTTCAACAACAAACCTGCTCAATAATTTCTTCTGACAGCACACCTTTATAGTTAATCTCCTCTTCTGGTGATCCAAGGATATACTTAAGCCTTCCAAAACTTCTCTTCTCTTCTTCAGGCGAGTCCATTAACTTCCAGAGTTCAACCAGTGACTCTACTTTTTCTCGCAGCTACAATACAATAATTGAAAACCTATAATCCAGCTGAAGTTATTTCAAAGAAAAGAAAGTGAAAATAAACTTCTACTAAGTACCAACCTTCTGAACTCGAACTTTTTTGTCTGATTTTAGTCTCAGGACAGCTTGAGCTAGACCCTCCAATGTGTGATAACTGATATTTGTCGATTGCCCAGAGCTAGTCTCTTGCAAACTAGGATGCACTTCGTTCACTGTCTTCTGAAAATCTAGTCCAAGAACAGCACATAAAGTGTGCACTTCGCTGACATACTCCAGAACCTTGTGAAGCCGATCAGACTGGTGACAAAAAACAAAAAAGGTTTTCCGGAAGCATTATTTCTTTAATTAGATAAATACAGGTGATTAAGTGATTTACTTGGTCAATTGTTGATCCTTGGATACTAAGTTAAAATTAAGGGATTTGATGTATCAAGTCTTACTAAGGGATGATATGTAGTTGCTTTGTAATTATTAGCAGCTGATATTTAGGCAATGCATGCCATCTATTGTCTGATGAGAATATGCATAAAATGAATCACCTTATATATAGATGAAAATACAAGAAGCATTTTGTTCTCTTTTTCTCCTCTTTATCAACTCTCTTACTATTATTTTAGATTAAGATCTCAATGCTTTTGGTATCAATTGGCACTTTCTTATCTCAGTGCCCACAATAGCAACTGGAAATTGAGGGAATGACATGGAACTAATGAAAGAAAATAGATACCTTCTCCTTCTGGAGAGTTTGGAGCTGAGATTGGTATTCGTTAAATTTCCTCATTGATAAGTCATGTTCTTCAGTATCAACTGGATTAGTGGCTTCATCAGAATGATTATTCAATTCTGTCATCTCAGAAGTAATCTTCTGAATCTGCAAGCGTATATCAGCAAATTGTTTTATCCGTTCCTCTTTCTTTAATTTCAAATCCTCTAGTAGTGGAGTAACAGATGCAAGTTGCTCCTTCAAGGATGCTTGTCTTTTGCTATTCTGCATATAAAAGTGAAGCAATTAAGAGCTAGTGTTGGACAAATAAACTGAATATGATGGACAAAATTTTTAAGCCTTAAATCATGCAATCAAGTAGAAGATTTGGCGGGACCAGGTTCGGAAAAAGAAAACCATTAAAAAAATTGTATCGCTACCACATAAAAAAAAATTGTAACGCTACCACATAAAGAACTAATCACTAAAAATGGGTGCACAAAATAAGGAGCAGAATTGGCATACCAAGATTGGAAAAAAAACATCATAACTGATAGATACACATTTACATGAGGAATTTGGAGCATATAACACGAGAACACCAACAGCCATGTAAGGCTGAAAAATCTAAATATAACCATTTCTCATTTAAAATATAACACTGGTTGACTTGCCTATGTAGCAAGATTATTATCTCACAAGACGTCTAGATGCCACATTGAAGCTGCTTATGAATCATTGAACAGGGTAGTTTCTGGAAGAGGAAGTATTAGGCCTATATATATTCTTGTAGTCTCATAGCGCATAGTACCAAGCTTCAGGAAAGCATAAGTCTATGCATCTATAAATACTTGTGAATTAGCTTGATTGCTATATATCACGAAACATTCTTTGTAATAAGGCGCCTTGCAACTTTCATATTTATTAGTAACAAGGTTCTCAAAGATATAAGTGACTGTATTTTGAATTTGGATAATCCGATGAAATGTACCCTTCTGAAAGAAAGAGAATTTCCTGTTATATTAGACTTGCATTGAATTTGAGGGAAATGCAATTAATCGAAAGACTAAAGTCAATGCTGAGTTGACTGGAAAATATCGGTAGATTCAAGATGTTGCCCTGTGAGGGCCAAAGATGGATATCTGTTCACATATAGCCAAGGTCAATCATTTCACTAGAAAACCTGAAATTTTATAGTTGATTATAATTTTCATCCATGATCATTGTGATATCAAATAACAGGCATATTGTCAATAGTTTATTATTATCCTGGTGAGTAACATAGCACTTGATAAAGTTCAGCCATGTAAACCAATAAAAAAATTAAGCAATAGGCTTTATTGCTAGATTAAATTATCACCTACAAATTTTTAACATCAAACTCAAATGTATTGAGTACTTTTACTTCTAAAGATGGAGCAAGCAAAATATGGACCTAAGCCATGACAGAATTCATAGTGTAGATTATAACAACATCTCACATCAGATTCTCTTCAAATACAAGTAAAAAAAGCATCAACAATCATCTCTACAAGGAGAAACTATTAATTGTCTCTCCCCAGTGGGGGACTGATGAGTGCAAAACAAGGGGGTTTGCATTCACTTGATCCAAGGGTTCTTTCACTGGTGCACCAACTATCGAAGAGCGGGGGTTCTTTCACAGGTGCACCAACTATCCAAGAGCGGACAGCATTTACGAAATAGTTTTCTCTACTGCAAGTACTAGCGGAACTGACAAAGAATTAAAAAAAAAAGTCAATTGGTAGGCTTCAAGTTTAATCCACATTGTTCAAGACAAGGACTCAACTTTTATATTCAAGTTATAGAAGTAGTTGGCGAGGGCTGACCCACTGAAAAATCCAAGTTTTCATGACTAATTAGGATGGTTGGTAGAAGAATGCCATTGTTCCAGAGTCGGCGACTCAATAAATGAATGAACTGTGCCTTTGTATATACAAATTAAATGTCAACAGTAACACCAATCATATAGGTGCATGAAAGATGAAACTGACAATTCTACTTGCGGGCGTCTAAAACTATTAATCCCCAACGTAACTAGTTCAAATCCAACTGGCCACAGCATTAATACACGGATTTAAGAAAAAGTAGGACAACACTGTGTTGAGTTCAGGGTCCCGGAGTTTTGATGTAGAGGAAGGGATTTTAAGATAGTATAAGATCAATCCAGGTTAAAATCTCATCGGACACACATTTAAAGTATAAAATAGTCTGAATATCGACACATAAAAAGGGCGTTCAACTTATAGTGACATGTTGAGTGCAAAACTATAACCATGAAACCTTACCACAATATCGGAGTTCTGGTGCAGTGAATGGAACATTTAGACCACTAAATATGATCAATTAGTTCAGTATAGCTTTAGGAGAAAAAGCATAATGATCATTCAATTGAATTGTATCTCTTTGTACCTTTGAATGAAGACTGAATTCACCAAGGGAAGCCATGATAGCTGCAAGCTCTGCTTCTTTGGCTGCCACCGACTGATGAAGCTGTACTTTTGAAGCGCTTGCTTCATCGAGCTTCCTTTGATAAATTTTCAGGCACTCTCTCTCGATCTCCGATAACATTCGGCCTTTATCTGCTTCACTCTCCCCAATCTCTGCCCATATTTTCTGTTTCATTCAGTGAATTAGACGGCCTCAGTACATGAGAATTCATTACAACTTACCAGTTAAAGATTCACTGTATAACACTTAGAACGCAACCCAAATTTGGAGAAGTTCAAGTCATAACAAATGATAATAAAAGAGATCAAGTTTCATCCTTCAACATTAAAATGCAATTTTTCAGCATAATTACTTTAACAAAATAAAAGACGAAAGTAAATAAGAACTCAAAAACCCCATGGTTGAAAAAATTAGCAAAACAAAAAATGAATAAACAATATCTGTATTAAAACATTAAAAAAATTATCAGAAAATAATCCCAAAACAATAATTAAAAGAAACAAAAGTAGAAAAGAAAATCACTTTACAACGCAAATTCTCATACCCTTTTCAACGAAGGAAAAATAGTGAGTAAATGAAGAAAGTAAACAATATATTATGACATTTTTTTTATTTACAAAACCAATTTCAGAAAATCCATTCTTCAGTTTAACCTGAAGATGATTTTATTAAAAAATCAAGAAGACAAATTAATAAAAGGGAAAAAAAAAGAATACCTGCTCCTCAGTGTACATCACATCAGTGAAACCTCAGGATTAGGAATAAAAATTACAAAATAATTGGAAAAAAGACAATTTCCTACTTTTTCAGAAAATAAAATTCTTGAGAGAGAGAGAGAACCTCTAATTCTGTGAACAAAGCACCACAGCTGGTCTCCATGCTGACACTAAACCCCGCCATTCTCATGAATTAGAAAACAGAGGGGAGAGAGAGAGACACAGAGGGGGGAGAGAGAGTGAAAGGAAAAACAAGACAAGGGCTTCGAGTCAAAATGGCAACATCTCCTTCTTCCTCACTTCAGACCCTTCTCCCCTTTTGCCCTTTTTGGAACTTTTGCAGACTGAACTCAGAAAAAACAAGACTCCAGCAGTTGCAGTCTATGGCAATCCACCATCAATGCAGAGAGAGAGAGAGAGAGAGAGAGAGAGAGAGAGGAGGGCTGTAGCAAAGATGTTTCTATGGCTTTTTTCAAGAATTTAAAAAGACCCATCTTACTACAATGCAAAAATTGTGGAAAAAAGGTGAAATTTTTATTATTTTTTATTATTTTTTGGTAGAAGTGGGTGGTGAAGTGATGATAGTTGCATTAATCATAATTAAAAGATAACAAGCTCTTTTTGCCTATATATACCCAAGCACGCACGCTTACTATAATTCATCCTTACGTTCTTCGAGATTGGATTTTTACCGGCCTCTCATTTAACACTGTCAAAATTCGCATGGTAAATTAACTAATATTTGGACGGTAACAAGCGTGAAAGGAAGATAGGTGGGAGGGTAAACGGGCAAAAACTTCTTCTTCTTTTTTTTTTTTTTGGTAGAGAGGGGAGCATTTGAAGCATAATGGTCCCGCACAAGAGGGATATTTTCACTCATTTTAGCGATAAATTACTAAATATTCAGATTCAAAGGGTAAATCTGTAAATGAGAAAGATTTGGGTGAAGAAAATCTAAAACATATTAATTGCGTAATTTGCTTTAGTTTATTAATTGTTATGATGGTTAACACAAGGGTGAAAGGAAAATGACAAAAAGCTGAGATAATCTATTGGTTTCTTGTTAGGGCCAGTTTCTAGTGGAGGTCTGAATGGAAAAAGAGAATCTTTTTTTAGATCTTGATTTATTTAAGTTGAGTAAAGCTTTTGCTTGTTAGTTCTGTTTATTGTTAATGTGGCATTAGGTGGAGTCTAATCGAATTGATGCCTGGTTGTTAACTGTTCCGTGAAAGAGAAGGGAGTAGATGGGTGAGAGTCTGAAAAGATAAGGAAAATGGACTGAGCACCAAACTTTGTGAAATGAGAGGATATTGGATCACATATCTCTTCAACTAATCGATTGGTGTAGTTTCTTTTTATAATTTTGATTTGGCAGAAGTAATTACAGGAGCACAAATAATCATCCTATTTAATTTCTTTACCCTTTTTATTTTTTGCAAATTCATCGGATAAGTTTAGTAAGAGGTGGTTATTTAGTGTATGATAAAAAGTACGCTCGACATGGTGAGATTGAGGCATCAAGATCGTATAAAAGAGACGATGCCTAGGATAGGATCGTATAAAAGAGACGATGACTAGGATAGTCAGATTGTTGTTGCGACAGGAAATGTGAGGCAACACGGAAAAGAGTTGTTTTGGCTCATAAATTTGGGTCTTGGGGCTTAGTGGTTAGAGAACATGTGCTCGTGAGCAAGCTCAAGCCTAAGTTCCCCCAAAATCTCTTTCAATGCTAGAGTCGGTGGATTATAGACGAAAAAATAATCTATAGTGGGTAAAGCTTTGAATATAGAAGAAGAGTGTCCCCCCCTCCCCCTCCCCACATAGAGATTGTAATCTCTCCTTGTAAGAAGTTTGGAATCTCCTCCGAGGAGTTTCTCTCTTTTCTTAACAGGAATATCTAAATTGCTGGTTAGGAAGAAATTTTCACTATAGACCCAACCCCAGATTTAATCCCTAAAACCGACCCACTTTAAATTTATTTATGAGAATCGACCCACTTTGAGTTACTTACGGTATTAATTAGTCGGGGTTGCCAACCCTTACTAATTAGTACCGTAATTAACTCAAAGTGGGTCGATTCTCATAAATAACTTTAAAGTGGGTCGGTTTTAGGGATTAGATATGAGAATGGATCTACAGTGAAAATTTCTTCTTGCTGGTAATAACGGCTTGGTTGCGATGTGACAAGGCGTGTGTGGACGGAACATTTTGTGTTCCTGTTACCCTAGGAATGACCTCAAGCGATGAACATGCAAGGAGCGTCAATAAAAGAATAAGAGATCTATTAGATGATCTTGTTTGGACTATTATGCCCGAATGAATGTGTTAACTCAGATTATCTAGACTGTTAGGCCTCTAGGCTTTAGAAGAAAACTGCCTTAACAAACCATACCAAATCCTTATATTATTCGCCTAGTGTTATCTTACATACCCATCATTGATTTTCGTCACTGGTGCTTGAGGTAACAGATCACAGATATGATCTCGATGACAGAAGCCTGTACTGGATCCAACTCACGCGGGTCCTGGACCTCGTTACAATTTTTTATGTAGTGAATCGTCATTTATCCTTATTAGCATTTTAGGTTGATTTCGGTTTAGGGCATGTTCGTTTGTTTTCTAAACACCAAGAAATGGAAATGGAAATGGTGAAAATCTCAAAACTCATCATTTCCTCCATTTTCATCCCTAAACTCACTCACAACATCCAATAAAATATTATTTCCATTCAACAACTCATCCACATCATCTAATAAAATATGATTTTCTACTCATCCATCACATCTAATAAAATATTATTTTCATCTAACAACTCATCCATCACATCTAATAAAATATTATTTTCATCCAAACATCACTCAACTCATCTCTTCTCATCATTCCAAATCACTCACATCATCCAATAAAATATTATAACAATTCACCTCATCTCATTAACATTTCATTTCTTTATTTTCATCCCCAAAAGTTATGAAAACACTTTTCTTAATCTTTCTTCACATCACCCAATAATACAATGACAACTCATCTCATCTCATTTCATTTCTTATTTTTAAGAATGAACCGAACAAAAGAAAACAAGAAACTATAGGAAATAGGTTTCTTATAATTCATTTCCTTATTTTTTTTCGCCAACCGAACACTCCAAAACTAGTTTTCTTAAAAAATCACAAACATCATCCAATAATAAGGTGACAACTAACATCATTTCAATTTCATTTCTTTGATTTCCTTCTTTTTTAGCCAACCAAACACTCCAAAAACAATTCTTCATTTTAATAGTTTTCCATTTCTTTGATTTCCCTTTTTTTTAAGGCAAACGAACAGACCCTTAATCGTAACCCCAATCAGCACATCGTGACGAATAAGTGGGCCCCACTTGAATGCTAGCTTGGACTCTAGTTCAAGTGGCTGGTGTGGGTCCATAGTCCTCCACTGAGGAAAGAAAAGAAAAGAAAATTAGATAGGAAGAATATAGCGTGGGATGTTTTAAATAATAAAAAAGAGGCTTATATCAGACCTATACTTTTTGATAATCCATCGTGTATGATTCAAGTGTTTCTTTTAACTTTAGTGTTTTTGTATACCGTATCCATTTCTCTATTCTTTCTCCTCTTGCTTTCTCTCTCCTCTAGGTTTGCTTTGGAAGAAAGAAGAAATGAAGAAAACTAATCATAGGCCATCCAACTTATAAAAATAAAAATAATAAAGTTTTATGTCCCTTCTTTGGCAGGCCATGGTCCCTTGTTTATCAAAAGAAAATCAAACAACTATCTTCTAATTGAAAAGGAAGATATCATTTTCTTACGCATCTATATAAATGTGTTGCATAATTTCCTCTTTAGATGGGGCAGGAATGTCTCTTTATTATTAATTTCAGGAAATATTTCGTGCTCTTTTGGTTTGTGGTCACTCATACCATTTCCATCCTTTGGCAAAGTAAGTTCCTCACCAATACATCTTTGGCATCAACAACGAGCACGTAGCAAATATTCTAATCATATTTGGCCAGATATCAGAAGGGAAAAAATATTAACTTTAGAAGATAATAAGAAATATTCTAGTTGGTGCATAGATTATTGACAGTAACAAATGTTGCAAGTTTTTTCTACAAACTATAAATCCAATTACTAGCTACAACGACCTTGTTGCAAAACAAACATTGGAAATAGAATTTTGGTTGCTACACCCGTAGACGTAAATAATTTTCTTATCAAGCAAATAGCCCCTGAATTAATTGTAACCTAACTCCCAAATTCTCTCCCTTTTCTCCCGAATTCTTTGTTGGAAGCCATGAATCAAGCTGTTGGGGAAACCCCCGATGCCGAGATCCAATACCAAATAGCCGAGAGAGAAGACCAAACACACCAAATCAATGTCACAAACAAGATACACTAGCTTTAACGTGGTTCGGCGAATGCCTACGTCCACGGGGCAAGGAGGGGGGAGTTTTCACTATTAGAAATCAAGGGGATACAACTAGGGTTACAAATCTCACAAAAAACCCTCTTCAAATCACACTTGATCTCTCCAAATGCTCCTACAATAGAAGCCCAACAAAACCCCTTTATTTCAGCTTAAAACCCTTGCACACCAAACCCTAGAAACACCCCTTAGGTATTTATAACAATCCAAAACGAAACGGGTCTAGAACCCAGATTCAGCCCAAACCGCTTCGGCGATCGACCGTGACGGTCGACCACGCAGTTATCACGGTCGACCGCCACGGTCGACCACACCAACTCCAGAAACAGACCCAAACTCCAGAAGAAAACGCGGTCGACCGCCAAAGTTCCAGAGGCACAGTGAGGCCCCGTGCACGAACGTGGTCGACCGCCACGATCTCGCGGTCGACCGCCGACCATCCAAAACGTTCCTCAGGCTCCATCAACTGTTCTGTCAGTCCTACAAATCTCCACCTCGGCGAACGTTCTCCCAAAACTAATCCTACAGTGACCACACCAAATACCTCACTTGTTGCTTCCAGTACGCCATGGCAATGGACTCATGACAACGGACTCCATCCACAACAAGTCGAGACCCATACGGGAGTGTGAACACTCACCCAATGCAACAGTGTCTACTCACTAAATCGGTTGCATCATAAAGACTGCCTACGTATCCTCTTGCCTAAGGAATCAAGACTTCACGTAGTTCACCCAATGGCCTCCAAAGACCCTCAATCCAAAAGAAGAGTTCTCAACTCTTCATCAACATCAACACCCAATCTGCGGCTGATAGCTTCACCAATGACCCCAAACTAACACGATCCAAACACCTCCACCTGAGGTGACCCAATGGCTATGCCCAAGCTACATCCACCAGCTGCACTCGAATCTACCAACTCATCATCTGCATCCTAAACAATTTGATCCCCAAACTGTGCCACATCAGCTAGAATCCCAAATAATGCAGAACGACCTGGAGTATGTAGAGTAATCTCCACCCAATGTGGAGTAGCATCACCCTCTACCCGTTGTGATATCACACTGATCTGATCTACACTCTCTACCTGCCGAGAGTCTAATGTGACATACCTACTTCGAACAAACTCAGAAGCTCTCAACTG